GAGTTCCACTCAAGGTAAGAACTAAGAGAGACAACATTGGATTAGAAGGGTGTATGTATTTTTCTTAAATCAAATCTAAGATTCTCTCAAAGGAAGGAATACTTTGTGGGAATTCTTTATAACCCCAAATGGGGGAGGGGGGTTGCATTGAATTATGTCCAAGGCAGGGATGAAAGAGAAAGTTTCAAGCTTCACAGGATTATTTTTCACACAATCACATATACAGTAGACTGTTATCCAAGTGAGAGACAATGAAAAACAGAGTTTGTTTTTAGAAAAGATATTTCCATTTATGGAACAAGGAAGTTATAATTTCATATCTTTACTGCTTTATTTTATTATGGGCACAGGAAAGGAATATAAATTCTGTTTCCTAAAATGATAATGCTTTCAAGCTGAAATCTGGAGTGACCCAAATGATTGACATAATAGTCACCCCATTTGAATGTCCAATAAGTCATATTTGATTATGGGACATCAAGCTGGTATCAACTCTTAGAAACCACATAGACAGATTTTCTCAGAATGATCCAGTTCTCCAGATCTTCCAATAGTGTAAATATAGAGGTGCCACTATATTTATCCACCTTGCTGCTGGCCATCCCTTTTTCCCCTATTTCCTTCCACTTTTGCTGTATAAAATTCCCAAGAGACATTTTAAAAAAAAGGCCTGGATGCAATTAAAAATAGTAAAGACTATAAATTAGAAGAGTTGCTTTCATCAACATACATTTTACACAGAAGACAGTAAACCTGATTTCTTTGGATATTAACTTTTTCCAGTATATTAATATTTGGCATAATGTCAGTGTTGCATTTATACACATTATGGAAACATTATTTTCCCCAAACATGGTTACATAAGTCCCAAGTATTGTTAATGTAGAAAAAGCAGCTTTATTGTTTGCTTTCTTCCCAGCCAAGTGAAATGGCTATGCCTGTAGCTGTATGCAGAGACAGCTGAGAACAGCTTGCAAGCAGCTGCTTGGATTTTGCCAGTGGCACACGCTTGAATTATTTGAAAAGAGGTCCTTTGAGTTGCTGTGAAGTTCCTCTTTTGCATGCTTTGTGGAGATCTCCTACTAACATAAGTTTTTTGTGTGACTTTATGCTCCATTTAGAAACACTTTATCAATCCTTTAAATTTCTCCCCAAAGCCTTTGGACTTGCACTCTTAATGTGGGGGCTTTCATTTCTTTCTTTCTTTCTTTCTTTCTTTCTTTCTTTCTTTCT